TGAGAATAAACCAATCAGAGTTTCATCTCACATTCCCTATAAGACTCAGTTGTGTTGCGCCATAGTGCATTTGCTATTTACATGACGGACTTTATAAGTGGAAAAACTGAACACTTCACTAGCAAGAAAAAAGTTTTACATAAAAAAGTGCTTTACATAAACAGTTTATTCCTGTTTATGTAAAGCACTTTGAATTGCCACTGTGTATGAAATGTGCTATATAAATAAACTTGCCTTGCCTTTAATAAAACAAATATAAATATGCATATAATAAATAATACTGCTTAAAATGATAACATTATACCAAAGCAAATTGTTATGAGTAATCTGAAAAAGACCCCCGAGACGAAGAAGGCATGGAGGTGGTGGTTTTTATATTCATGTAGGCTAGAAAATAATAATTTTTGTAATATTTTAATAAGTTAATTCTTTTTCATATGTAAAGATATTTGCTTATTGCTGTACATTCTGTGTGTATTAAGCAGTGTGTAAGCGAGGTGCACAACTAACGCGCTCTGCGCTGGACTGCTTTGATCTGGTCATTCGAAAAATCTATTAGTTCTTTAAAATATATAAATATCAAAAAGTTACACATTTCTGTGAGATAGCATTGGTTAACCAGTACAATATTAATATGTTAGCACAATGTTAAAGCTACTAGCCACATGCTAGTTGATTTGACTTTTCAAACAGCTTTTATTATAAACTTTCACCCATGACTTTGTCAAACCAGAATTTAGGTTTATCGTCAAACTTTTCCCATCTATTTATCAACTCTGTTCTCCAGTGGATCACGTCGGGGTCACCAAAATTACATATGCATCCCCTGTTGCCTTTGTACATACATGTTCTAGTTTGTTGACATTTTCTGTAGGCTGTGTTCTGCCATCTTGAATTTATTATCTCATGTTTCATTCCCTTGAGATATGGGAGAATGTTCTTTGCCGGTTTATTTATTTATTTATTTATTTATTTTAATGTCATGTATGTTGAGATTGTGACGCCTTTATTATGCAGATCTACAGAGAATGCAGATTAAAATAGAAACCATTTGAATGTCTAACTTGTCACAATATGGATCACAGTTGTCTGATTCACTTTGTTTGTGTGGCTCTAAAGCTAGTTGCCTTTAAAGATTTATATTAAAACAACACTTTATAAAATTACTCATTATTATGTAGGATTGTTCAGTCTTATGTTGTTCCAACCTGTAGTTAGTTAGTTAGTTAGTTAGTTAGTTAGTTAGTTAGTTAGTTAGTTAGTTAGTTAGTTAGTTAGTTTGTTTGTTTGTTTGTTTGTTTGTTTGTTAGTTGATGCATCATTTGAGCAGTGGGAAAAAGAGTGCTGAAAAATCATACCTAAGTGAAAGTACCATTACTTGCTTAAAATGTAGTGCTAGTAGAGTAAAAGTATCTGTTGTAAATACTACTCAAGTATGAGTAAAAAGTAGACCTTTCAAAAGTCCTCAGGAGTAGAGTAGTGAGTATTATGCTGTTAAAAGCTGATGCATTTAAGTAACCTGTGAATGTGTGTAAACGTAACAGTCTGTAGTGCATCTAGTTATTGTCCAGCAGACACACAACATCATTAAATGCTAATATGAGGTTAGATTTAGGTCGTGACGTCAGGTGAACAAAATTCAATGCCTAGCCAGCGTCTAAGGACAACGTTTTTTAGACATCCAATAATGATGTCAAATGACGTTGATATTTGATTGATTTTAGGTTGTGTTGGAAAGTGACCAAAATCCAACGCTGAGCCAACATCTTAAACCAGCATCATATTGATGTTAAATACTGACATTTTTTTTCGTCAGGTATGGCAACCAAAATCCACCATCTGTTAGACGTCATAGTGGTAACATCCACACAACTTCAAGCTTTATCATCATTAAATGTTGATATTTGGTTGATTTTAGGTTGTGTTGGAAAGTGACCAATATCCAACGTCAAGCCAACATCTTCAACCAGCATCATATTGACGTTGATTACTGACATTTACTCGTTAGTTATGGTAACCAGAATCCAACAGACTAGACGTCAGGTAGACGTCATAGTGGTAACGTCCACACAACGTCAAGCTCTGACATCATTAGACGTTTGGTTGATTTAAGGTTGGATTTTGGACATTGACGTCGGCCTGATGTTGAGTTCTGACATCAAAACAATTTTCATTTACAAACAAAATGCAACGTCCCCACAGCATTGAGGTGCGACGTCAATCTAACATCATGTTGACATCTTGTGCCTGCTAGGTTTTTAAGGCCATTTCAGTCATCATATAGTAAACATCTGTCATCTTCTGTCTCTTGGTCAATGCATGTAAAGATTTTGGACATCTTCTTGGACACTTTTATCGCTACCAAACAGTTTGCAGCAATTATAAATCGCCCATGTCTTGAGGTAGTTCATTATGAGGCGATTTTACCTTCTATGTGCAATTTGATTGGACTTGCAAGACTGAAAGAAATAATAATGTAGTGACTGCAGGTTGAAGGAAGGTAGTTGAGTAAAACTACCGATACTGCAGTAAAAATGTATTAAAGAGGATAGTAAAAATATTCATTTTAAAAAAGTAAATTACAATTCCTGAGAAAAACTGCTCAATTACAGTAGTTTGAGTATGCGTAATTCTTTATACCATGTCATATGACTTAATTACAAAACTAACAATATAATATATTGAAAATCTATTTTTTTGTTTATTTTTTTTCTCTTTTCTAAATAATTAATGACATTATTTTTATTTTTTAGCAAACTGTCGTGAGTATGCCTTACTCTTTTCTGCCTTGACTGTGTTATAAGGTTTACACTACATATTAATGAGGAGCTTGAATACTGATGATGCTCAATCAGTCTCTTTTAAAAGGTTGGAGGTCAAGCTCAGTTCTCTTGCTGCTGATTACAAAACGTACTGTGCAAGAGAAAATCTGTTCTTTTGAATATATTTATATAAATGTATATAAATCCCCAGGAAACCTTTGACATTTGTGATGACCAGACGATGGTGAATTTAGCGTGGTAATCATTATTCATTAAATGTATTATTAACTGAAATATTTTGCATGTGGTTATAATGCAGAACTGAAAAGCTGTACAGGGTAAAATGTTCTCATAGATATTTAGAGTTAAAATGAAAAATGTACAAATGAAGAGATTATTTTACCACTACACACCACACCAGTTCTGGATCACCCATGATATATATATCTACTTCTTATTCTCACAAACATTGTTTAGTCTTGTTTGCTCTAACATTACAAAGCATATTGTTGTTTAGGCTTTCCATGTTTGTTGACCCTTGCCTAGTCACGGGCAAAGCTAGGCTTCAAGAAACACTGAAACAGTTAAAGCAAAAGTTTCGAAACGATTCGAAAGCCATCTCTACAGTGACACCTAGTGGCCTTGTTTTAATGTAGCAGTGAGCGGTGAGAGTTCTTGACTATCATGCCAAGATAATAGACTTAATCCCTGGGTGATGCAATTTTAGATGTTAGTTTTTAAATACTCTTCTTGTGATGGGTTTTGTTTTAACATTGGTCTGACATCCTAATCAAAACTGAACAAACTGAACTTGGTCATAAAAAAGTAACATTATTGAAATACATTCATTTCAGAGTATTTGTACAAATCAGAATTCGAACTTGGGCCATTTGCAGCACAGTTACTCTGTGCACATGCACAGTCCATTAGAATATAGAGATGTTTTCTGACCCTGTCAGTCAAACGCAGATTCGCCAGGTCTCGAAAAACTTCTGAAATGACCTTAGTCATGTGACCTGGGTGTTTCGAATCACCTTAGTCAAGCAACCTGGGTGATTCAAATCACCTTAGCCACGTTACCTGGGTATTTCAAATCACCTAAGTCACATGACCTGGGTGTTACAAATCACCTTAGTCACGTGATCTGGGTGTTTCGCATCACCATAGTCACATGATCTGGGTGTTTCGAATCACCTTAGCCATGTGACCTTGGTGTTTAAATCACCTTAGTCACATGACCTGGGTGTTTCGAATCACCTTAGTCACATGACCTGGGTGTTTCGAATCACCATAGTCACATGACTTGGGTGTTTCGAATCACCTTAGTCACATGACCTGGGTGTTCCGAATCACCTTAGTCACGTGACCTGGGTGTTTCAAGTCACCTTAGCCACATGACTTGGGTGTTTCGAATCACCCTAGTCATGTGACCTTGGTGTTCTGAATCACCTTAGTCACGTGACCTGGGTGTTTCAGATTATGCTTCGGTGCAGTGTTTCGAAACACTTGCGCTTCGGGATCTCGACACTGTGGTGAAACTTCAGTTTCACACCAGCCATCCCAACCCTTGACTTGTTTCCTTGTTTATGTTCTTTTGCCACCTGTACCAACCTATTTGCCTGTGACCTCTACTACGCTTCTAGGTTACCGTCATTACATCGTTTGACCATTGCCTTCCTGAAGATTCTTAATAAAACTGTTGTCACCACAACTCCCATTGGTTACAATTAGTCTGACTGTCATTTTCTGAAAAAAACAACAACTCTAAATTAAACTTAAAATTCTGATATGCAAGACCATTATTGACCTTATTCTTCAATGCCAAATATTTTGCGTTTCTTTTAGAACTTTCGATTTGGTTGCCTATGGGATAAATGACTAGGAATAAGAAACGGTCAAACTGCTTGCTCTACAAACAAGTGTGTTCATGACTATACATAAAAAGAAGAACATTATTATAAGAAAATATCACTTTGCAACATCAACCAGCTGTTATTAATGTCTAAATTAGACCGGAAGTCTAGAGCCAAAAAGATTCCAAGGCTGTGTCCGCTCGTACGTGACGAATTAGGTCAATAGAATAAAACAAATAATAGTGTTTTACTCAAAGCTATACAGTACCTAATAAATGCAGTGAATACAAACAAGCTGTTGAGTGGCCCCTGATCCCCTTAAAGCCGTAATAGATCAATGTATTTGCTTTTTAAAGTAATTTAATTCACTTTGTCTCCTTCACAGCCGACCAGCGAGGATGATCTCTGCCCGATCTGCTATGCACACTCCATATCAGCCATCTTCAAGCCCTGCTCCCACAAATCCTGCAAGTAAGTTGCTGCCAACATCCTCTTGACAGCTCTATCTTCCATTCATTGCTCCATTTAGGAGATTTACACCATGCTCTGAAACGCTTCAGTGGGAATTGCTAAAGCTCAAAGTTTATTCTATGTTTTTATGCATACATTACTGTACGAGCGTAGTTGAGCCCGCTGATTTTTAAAGTAATTTGTAAATAAATTAACTTAAAGTAGCTTTAAAAGTAATTTGATCCTTATAAAGTACCTGCTGGAGTTTTGTTTCCTTCCCAAAAATTTCCATTAATTGTTTTAAATAATATGGGTAATATACTCTCCCACATTGTTTTTTTGCTGTCTTCAGTAGATTGTTGGTCTTCATCAAATGGTGACACCTTCTGGATAAAGTAGCGCAAAACCATTTAAAAGTGCATGTCAGACGCAATTTGTCCAGACGGTTAAATAAAGTGTGCTGAGCTCATGAAGAGTTGATGATAAATTTCATGTCACAAAGATATGGTAGTCTAAAATGTGGGACCTTATAAGTAGTGGTAATACTTTAAAGCTGTTTAATCAATATATAGTATAAAAAATTAAATGGGAGAAGGGCTAAAGCCTGGTTTATACTTCTGCGTCAAGTGATCGGCGTGACCCACGGCACATGCAACGCACGTAGTTGTGCATTTATACTTCTGCGTGCTGTTTCTGTCGTTCTGCATTAACACTTCCGAAACGCTATTTGGCAGTTGGTGTTAATGTTCCTCTGTGTCGAGTTTCTTCGCTGGTGTTTTGTTCTTTCTGAACGCTTCCTTAATGTACAAGTGGCTCAAACTCGCTCATTTTGAGGCAGGAACCGGCAGACGTGCAACAACTTTAACTATAAGGTAAACACAAAACAAAACTTTCCATCCGGACCTCCTTCACGGGACTTGTACACTTGTAAACAATCGCTCTATCAGGCTCGCGCGGCTCTCGTCCCGCCCAGGCTCGTCAGCGCTACCAAGCCGACTGTAATGAAGTTTACGGCCCTTTGGCCGCCGGGAAGAAGGAGGCGGAGAACCGACGGAGTTTTAAAATGATTTATTAATAATAATGACGGCAGCTCCTCACGGAGACTGCCATTTAAATCAAAACAAACGGACGGCAGCTCCTCGCGGAGACTGCCGTCAAACTGAAAGCAAAAGTAAAATAACATGCCCGGGCCCGGTCCTCTCTCGGCTTCCTCTGCCATCGGTCCTCCTTTTATGGTCCAGAGCTCCTTCCGTGGGATCCGAGGCAGGTGCGCACCGCACGTGTATCCACTCACGCGGTGGCCTCACCCCGTTCCCACGGCTCTCGGCCACGCCCCCTCGCCACATACCCCCATCTCCCATCACAGGCCGGGGGCACCCCGTGGCTGTGCATACTCCGGGGGGGGGGTTTGGCGCCACAGCACCCGCGAGACCTATATGAGACGGGCCGAGAGAAAAGGAGATGGAAAAAAAAGGAGGAAAGACAGAGTCGACCGAGAAAGGGGAGAGAGGAAAAAAAAAATAAAAATTGGGGTTCGGTTCTCCAGACACGCTGCCACTCTCGGTCCTCCACCAGCTGAGAGATGCGACGACGTGCTGGGAGCCCTGTGGAGGAATCTATCCACCCGTCCGTCTTCTGGCGTCCGGCGGCGGTTCTCCTGGCTGGCTGGCGGCATTTCTGGTCTCCTGCTCCGCTCCCGCTTCGGTGGATGGATGCAGGCTTTGGCGTCATGGCGGATCGCGGCGACTCCCCCGGGTTCTGTGGGATGGCTCCCTTCAGCTCTTTCCCTTCCGGTGGTGAGCCCCGCGTCCCCTGCTCCTCCCCATGCTGGGAGACGGCAGCAGGCAAATCCTTTCCTCGCCAGCCTCAGGCCGCCCCGGCACTCTGGGCAGACGAACGGGTTTCTCCCCCACTCGGGTTAACTCCCGAACACTCGCCCCCTCTCTCAGCGGCGAGGGCATCTGGACAACGCGTCCCTCCTTCTCCCGGGTTTCGGCACCACTGTAATGAATTTACGGCCCTTTGGCCGCCGGGAAGAAGGAGGCGGAGAACCGACGGAGTTTTAAAATGATTTATTAATAATAATGACGGCAGCTCCTCACGGAGACTGCCATTTAAATCAAAACAAACGGACGGCAGCTCCTCGCGGAGACTGCCGTCAAACTGAAAGCAAAAGTAAAATAACATGCCCGGGCCCGGTCCTCTCTCGGCTTCCTCTGCCATCGGTCCTCCTTTTATGGTCCAGAGCTCCTTCCGTGGGATCCGAGGCAGGTGCGCACCGCACGTGTATCCACTCACGCGGTGGCCTCACCCCGTTCCCACGGCTCTCGGCCACGCCCCCTCGCCACACCGACCAATCACAGAGCTTGCGCTACACGTCGTTGTGATGTGTAGTTACATTTTTTGAGAGGTGCACGTCAGCGATGTCCACGGCGTAGGGCTATGCGTCAACACGTAGGCTGTGTCGAAGCATATGTGTGCGCTTGGCACAGAAGTATAAATCAGCCTTAAGGGGTAGAATTGAGACTGGCCCTAAGCAAACATCCATATAACTACAACAAATGCTTTCTCAACCGCTGTTTTCTCACTGCTGACATTTTTGTTCCTCATCTTTAACTGAGAAGAAAGATCGCAGGACATAGTTACGTATTCACTGACAAAAACTTGGCCACTTCTCTCAAAATCAAACCAGTTTCTTGCCAGTTTATCGCATGTGTGTTTTTCCCCTCATTCTAGTGAAGCGTGCCTAGGCTCTCTTTTAATGATTAAATGTCAGCGACGGACCGTCCCTCACTCACTCTCTCTTTTATTCCAGGGCCTGCATCAATCAGCACTTGATGAATAACAAGGACTGCTTCTTCTGCAAGGCCACCATAACTGGAGTGGATGATTACACCAAACCATTCGCCTCTTAGTATGCCCTACACACACTCAACATCTATATCTACACTTTCCCCCGAAGACTTCACCTCAAAAACACACACACACATATATATCTGTATATATATATTCAGGTCGGACTCATGGTTTCCACTCAGACCTTTACGTCCATGTTTGGTCACCCTGGTGTTGCTGTTGGTTCTGCCAGTGCTTCACCCAGTCTGTTCTGGCGAATAATCAAAAACATTTTGTGGTCTGACGAATGGAACGAGGCCTTGCAAGGCAATAGTTCTTCCAGATGTCTGAGTGATGAATGGATGAGATCCTGTTTAGAGCCTTCTGGAGGAGCGGCAGACGATCTGAGGAAACTCTAAATCTACACTAAGTTCAATGATTCATTTAGTTGATTAATTTAATTTAAGGTAAATGGTTGCAAACAATGTAAATGGGATGAATTTAACCAAACAAATTAAATTTGAGTAATGTTTAACTTCATTTATTTGTTTAAATTCAGCCTGTATACATTGTTTCTCACTAGGTAACTTAAAAAAATTGAGTAAATCCAATGAATCATTTGATTCAGTGTAATCTCTCCACTCGTGTTCTTGTGTTTTTGTTCATTTATCTCATCTTCTCGACTTGTTTTTTGTGCTTTCCGTTCCACCCCATCTACTTTAGTCTCCTCTTTTCTCATTTTATCTCATGTTGTCTTGTTTTGTTTTTCTCATCCTCATGTCTCACTTCTGTCTCATTTTGGTAAGTTGATTTCTTCCCTCTTTTTTTTCCTCTCGTTCAGTGTCTTTCTCATTTTGTTTCTCATCTCATCTTTTTTTTTTTAAATCTTCCCATTTCATCTCCTGTCTTTCTGCGCATCCTCTGATATTTCTGACACATCTATTTAGTCTCCTTTTTGTTTCATTCTATCTCATAATTTCCTTTCTCATCTTCATCCCCTATTCTCTGGTCTCCTTTTTGTTTTTCCTTTAGTCTCTTTCCTGCTCTTTCTTTTCAGTTCTTAATTTTTCTCCTTTCGTCTCACTTGTTTCTATATAACCAAATCAGGACTCTTCTTGTCTCGTTTTCATCTCATCTTCATCTCCTTTTCTCTGGTCTCCTTTTTGTCTCTCCTTCAGTCTCTCTCAGTTTATCTCTACTCTGCTCTCCATATATTTTGATTTCAGGTTTGTCACCTTTTGCGTTGTCTCATTTTAACTCAGTTTCTTCTCAAATCTCCATGTTTTTTTTTTCCTCTCGCCTGTTTCTATATAATCAAATCAGGACTCGTCTCGTCTTCATCTCCTTTTCTCTAGTTTTTTTTGTCTCTCCTTTAGTCTCTCCGTTCGTCTCTGCTCTGCTCTCCATATATTTTGATTTCGTGTTTGTTGACTTTTGCATTGTCTCATTTGAACTTAGTTTCTTCTCAATTCTCCATGTTTCTCCATTCGTCACGCCTGTTTCTATATAATCAAATCAGGACTCATCTCGTCTTCATATCCTTTTCTCTGGTCTCTTTTTTTGTCTCTCCCTCTGTCTCTTTCATTTCCTGCACTTTCTTATCTATTTTTTCTCACGTTTTCTCGCTTTGTCTCATCGCATCCTCTAGACTTCCATATCTCTTTTTTCTGATCACCCTTTTTCTTTTATTAATTTGGTCTTGTTAGTTTCTGCTCCTTTTATCTCCATATATTTTGATTTTGTGTTTGTCGTCTGTTGCGTTGTCTCATTTTAACTCAGTTTCTTCTCAGTTCTTCATGTTTCTCCTTTCGTCTCGTCTGTTACTATATAATCAAATCAGGACTCGTCTCGTCTTCATCTCCTTTTCTCCGGTCTCTTTTTTTGTCTCTCCTTCAGTCTCTTTCATCTCCTGCTCTTTTCTATCTCTTCTGTTTTCTTTTGTCTCATGTTTTCTCACCTTGGCTCATCGCATCCACCAGAACTCTATATCTGTTCTGTTTTTTCTATTAGTTTTTTCTGTATTTGTTTGCGCTAGTTCGTCTTCTCCATTTATCTCCATATATTTTGATTTCGGGTTTGTCGACTTTTGCGTTCTCATTTTAACTCAGTTCCATGTTTCTCCTTTCGTCTTGCCTGTTTCTATATAATTAAATCAGGCTTCTTCTCGTCTTCATCTCCTTTACTCTGGTCTCTTTTTTGTCTCTCCTTCAGTCTCTTTTTCTTTTCACCTTTCACCCTTTTTCTTTTATTAATTTTGTCTTGTTAGTTTCTGCTCCTTTTATTTCCATATATTTTGATTTTGGGTTTGTCGTCTTTTGCGTTGTCTCATTTTAACTCAGTTTCTTCTCAGTTCTCCGTGTTTCTCCTTTCCTCTCGCCTGTTTCTATATAATCAAATCAGGACTTTGCTTGTCTCATCTTCATATCCTTTTCTCTGGTCTCCTTTTCGTCTCACCTTCAGTCTTTCTTTTCTATCACTTCTGTTTTCTTTCGTCTCATGTTTTCTCGCCTTGTCTCATCGCGTCCCCCAGACTTCCATATCTCTTCTTTTTTGATCACCTTTTTTTCTTATATTCATTTGGTCTTGTTAGTCTCATTATATATATATATATATATATATAAAATATTTAGATTTTGCATATGTCGTCTATTGCGTTGTCTCAGTTCCTTCTCAGTTCTCCAGTTTTCTCCTTTCGTCTCGCCTGTTTCTATATCATCATATCAGGACGTCAGATATAAACTCAGTACCACTTTTTCCACATCACTCAGTTTTTTCCTAACCTTTTTATATACTCGAAACTGACAGCCATATTTAACAGTGATATCACATCACAAAACAGCTCTACACGATTTTCTACATGAAGAAGCTATTACATCTATGTGTTCCCTATTATATATTTCTAAAGCATCGTGACTGTTTACATGAAATTTGAACAAAATGCTTCGACACATTTATTTATTTATTTTTTTTGTTCAGCACTTAATCCATCTTATAATAGTGTGAATTCACAAGCGTTCCTCAAACCTGGATCTTTCTCCAGTCTGATGCATTAGGAGTGCCTCAACCGCGGTTTTTGTTACACCGACAGACATCAAGTTTTAAGTGCTTTGCCGTTGTATGCATGAGGGTTAGCTTTTCCCAGAATGCTTTGCTAATGGATTAGGTTTGCACTCAGAATCCATCGCTTCGCCACAGCTCCCTTAAAAAAGGATATCCAGCCATTGACAGCAGCAATGTGCTTAATTTTTTTTCTATACGGACCTAGTTTTAAAACCCACAGATAATTCAATGGAGACTTTCACATGACAATAGGCAATCATACGCTTCTTACTAATGCACTCAGACTGTTTATCTAACTGCTAATTCGCTACGAACT